TAAGCCTTGCTTATTGTGAGTGTCAAACTCACAATATTCAGTTCTCCTCCCTCCTTCACTACACCAGTTATTTGGTTATAGAAGGCTATCAGGTTCATTAAGCATGATTTCTTCTTCATAAATCCATGCTGACTGCATCCAATCATTTTCTTGTCCTTAATATTTCTGGAAATGGCTTCCAGGATTAGTTGCTCCACCATCCTCCCAGGGATCAAGGTGAAGCTGACTGGCCTGTAGTTCCCTGGATCCTTCTTCTTGCCCTTTCTGAAGACAGGAGTGATATTTGCACACAACAGTTGACAGAATAGGGTAAAAGCCTTTTTTTCCCTCCCCTAGATTGGAATGACTGGAAATGAAAGTATAGCGTATGGTAAGAGGACAGAAGTGGCACATACTTGCTGAGGTTTCAGCCATAACCTGTACAATGGGAACTATTGAATGTGCACGCTTAGGACCTCTCCTGGGCTATGATGGAAAACCTAAGCTGCCTGAACCGGCCACCCACTGACTTAGAAGGTTGTGTTTCTCTGATGAATGAAACTCTTGATGTAACCACAGAGCTAACCCTTCCTCTGCAACAATTCAACACTCTTAACCTTTGCCTGTTCAGGTTCAGAGAAATTACGCCTAAAACTGTTCAGGGCACCTAGTGTGAATGACTATCAGAGTAACAGATTATCACATTTTCAAGTCACTCCCAGCTCAGTGGGGATGCTCAGTCCTAGTGCTCACTCAGCATTCACCTCACCATGCCTCCTCACAATCCCCACAGGGACAGTGTGGGGGCACCTGCTTAATCCTCTCCTGGCCATGGCCTAGTCCAGTCTTGCTAAGTCAGGATAATGTATTCCAGGAAGCAAGTCAACGGGTGAGGGAAAGCCCTGGCTGCACTTCCAAGTGCTCCTTGGTGATGCAAAGTATATGCTGTAACCACTGTCTTCGTGCCCCCAACTCTCCATCTTCACTTAGGCCAGACTGCTAGACACTGGAGCTTGGCCTACCATGGTGGAGGAGGAAGGCAAGCTGAGAAGAGTTGGAAGTGCTGTGGTTCCTTTCCACGTGGGTGACACATGGGCAGGCCTGAACACCACAGAGTATCTATGGGGAGAGCCCAAGGGAAGACAGCAACTCACCCCATCCCTTCCTGTAAATCTTGCAAGCAGGGGAGGAACACAGGTCAAATCCAAAACGAGAGGTCACGAGAACAGCAGCTAGTAATGCTATAGTTCCACTGCTATAGTAATGGCCATAGTTCCACTGTCCTCCTCTCCAACTTGGAAAGTTTGGCCAAAGGTCAGCTGGTCATTTCTGACTTCCCTTGGCATGAGTTTGGTTGCTGCATGGAGGTGCCTACCTCTTCCTCTCCCGAGACCAGAAATACAGCATGGAAGGACCAACTCTAATTGCCACCAACTTCTCCACACTGTCTCCCAAGGAATCTTTCCTTCCTCCTGCCCTCCTCCACCCTCAACCATCTATGAAGAAACAAAGCAAAAGGCAGAAGCAGTCACTCCTCCATATCTACGTGTGCTCAGCAGCTCTCTCGCCATGCTGACAGACTACAAACCTCTGGCTCACCTAAGCTCTCTCTCTCTCTTTCAGCCCTGAAGCTTACAGCGCCAATTTCCATTGAAAGAAAATCCCATGCAGTGTCATCAAGGGAACACCCCAAGCAGAGCCTCCGGCCAAATACCCAAAGTCGCACAACCTTCCTCCACCCCACTACATTACGTTTCCAGGCATTTCCCAGGGCTTGTAGCTACCCAGTTGCCAAGTGAAAACAGCAGAGGCCAAATCCAAACAGGTAGGAACTACTGCCTTCTTGCTACTCTGACAATTCACAGAATCTGAGCAGATGACTACTGGGAAGAGTAGCAAAAAGGAAGGAAAGGCAAAGATGTCGGAAGACAAGGCACTCCCTTCAAAACACAGAGACCACCGCCTCAACCACAACTAAAAGACAGTCAGCTGAGCCAGCGGGAAAACCAGGCCACCTTCAGGAGAAGCCACCTGATGCATCTTCTCCTTTTCCTTTCAAGGCTTCGGGGCAGGGGGTGGAGGGAGGGAAGAGCAGAAAGGAAGTGGAAGCCCACACGACTGTTTCAGAAAGCCAGCCTTCCTGCTGTGTCCACTAATGAAATGCCAGAGCAACCAACAGCCCACAGAAAACCAGCTTGGTTCATGTAGCTGAAATCAAGCAATGATGAAGGTAGTTTATTGATGTAGGAACAGCAAGGAATTCACTGGTACTCGTGAAACTCTACCTTCACAAACAATATGAGCAATGCAACCTTAAAATGTGGAACTGTGCACTGTTGCCAAGGATGCTGCCTTTGCCTGCTCTGCAGCTATCTTTGGCTTCCAGATTGCTTTCCCACTTGGGCATACACAACTTGCTGCTTTTGAGTATGTGGGTATAAAAGTGTGAGTGAAATTTATGAAAGAATGAGTTAAATTTAATTTACTTAGAGATTTAGTACATGATTATCACTTTTCATTTCTCTAAGATCTCACTCAGATTTTTATGCTCATTTACTAGACACAGCGCCATCCGATATTTCCCCACCCTTTTGCATCATGAAACTCCCGCTCATACACCTTGCCAAGTTGGTATCTAAAAGCATGTCTTAATCACATATATATGTAGAGTAGATTTTTTCACTCAGTTAGACCTATTAGATTGCTGAAACCCATCATTTGCACTGGAACTAATTTTCTCCACTCAAAAGCATCAGTACTACACCAGAGAAATTGCATCAACATACTAGTAGTGGTAGAAATGGTTTCTGTCTTTAAAGGAACACAAAAAGTAATGTTAACTTGTCTTCAGAATTAACAGTATTGCCATCTCACTGCCATACCACCACGGAGGGGAAAAAAACATCTAATGAGCATTCAGCTTGCTTAGATTAGGCATAACCTTTAGTTGCAGTTATCTGACAGGAAGGCCACAGTTTCTAAATTTCCTGCTTAATGTTTGGTCTGGCGTTTGACCTTTGTTCCCGTTTGCACTCCCCCATTGTAAGATTAATGAAGTTTTTACCTTTGTGGAATATCAGTTGTGACTTCAGAGTTAAAAATGATGTTATAGATTTGGCATAATCTGCTTTATAGTGTTACGACAAAAACTAAAAAGTCTCCTAGATAAGCAAATGATAACTTTTCCTTCCTCAATGCACATGCTATATTCAAGTTTGTTAGGTACAAGTGTTAAATAGCAACAGTATGGTTTTCTTCTTAAAATTCAACACTATTATTAAAATAGTGCATTTTACCTTTACTCTAAAATACAGTATCCAGCTTTTAGAGACTAATAGGCCATAAAGCTAGCACATAGCCACTTGATAACGGGTGAACTTTCCCCGCCCATACATAACATAAATACTGGTTATCTTTACAGAGAAAAGTCTCTCATTTCAGAAATGACACTTCTTTATTTCCGTTTGCTTATTTCAGGCTATAGCTAGGCTGGTAGGACAAAACAGTAGACAGAACCACTGCAGCACTGGCTCCTCAACCAACCCTGGAGATAGCCATCACTCAGCAATCATTTCTGTCTTTTGAAGCACAACCAGGTACCACCTGCAGGCTAGCCCAAGGACCTACTTCCCACAGTAACTAGTCAGGCCTCAGGCATCACAACAGTGCAAGCACGTTTCCTGCAGACTGTAAACTGGCAACTTTTGCCTTGAGTATGACTAACTTTCAGATCACCAAATAGAAGTGGCTTTTAATGATGACTGCAAAATTACAGAGTCCCATTTTGATTTTTCCCCATACTTTAAAATATTTTTTTCAATATGATGTCCAGATGTTAGCAAATAAGAAGCTGTTAGGACATCCTTAAGTGCCTCCTAGTTACAGTACTATCAGAATCAATGCTGTCACAATTACGCCTTACACAATATGCAATAACCAAGCTGCATCAGAAATAATTCCAGAAGTGGAGTGAGTATACAAAGAAAAAAATATTTCCCTGTAATGTACACCTGTAGCCTGCATTATTTCCATTGATTAAAACATAACCTCTGACTATAGATTAGACAATTTAGTGCAATCATCACAACAGCTCCCTGGATCTCAGTGGTAACACTAAAGCCCAGCTGACAGTACAATACGGAACATCCTCTGCAAAATAACCTATCTAAGCATTCGGCCTAACTACCGCCATCTCAGGAAAGGTAAATGCATTTAGTTGGTCTAAGTATCTGTTTTGATCAATGTAACTGTATTGCAATTTTAAGAGCTACTGTTCCTAAAATGAACCATTTTGAAATTTGTTTTGAGTAGGCTTCTTTCTTAAATGCAAACACCCTCTCTGCAAATTGCAACAAATGAGTTAAACAGACATTTTCCTTTTTTTTAGAGGAACAGAACTGAATTTTCTTCATTTTAACAGTTTTGCAGTTATTCAGGCTCCACAACTAACTGCTCCTGCATTAGCCCTGTATTGTAAATATTTGCTACTGATAGCTTCCTTTACTTACACAAAAAACCCTACGTTGTAATTCTGAAGATTTAAGTATCAGAAAAATATATTCAACTTTAACATAAGAGCATTTGCTTGGTTTTGCTTTTTCACAGCTGCTGGTAAGCCAACTACGAGCCCTCCACGTTCTTGTCAAATTCTACCTGAAGTGGGAATAGCTTTTTGAAATTAATTCCCCAACTCACCGTCTCCTCACGTTATGCTAATTGTTGTGTCCATTTCACTTGGGAACCTACCTGAAGTCTCAAAATCTCCTTGTTGTGAGGAAGAAGAACATTCTAACAACACCTCTATTTTTCCTTTTAAAGTCCGCATAGTAGCTACTGCTTATGCAGGTATCAGTCTATGCGCACCGTGGCACGTTTTTCAGGGGTCAGTATTACTATTTGTGCCACCAGAGCTAGGATCACGCCACAAAAGCTGCTGGCCTACCCTGCCTGCATAGACATTCCTTCTCAAAGCCAAATAGGAAAATTTAGCGGGGGTGAAGGGAAGGGGAAAAAAAACATACCTAAATATCCCCAAACAAAGCCCTTTGAACAAATAGGTTTGTCTCGACTCCCTAGTCAGCAGACTAAACGAGTCGAGACGAGACCAACCCCGCC